TCATTTATTTTGGCACCATCTCTTAAAGAGGGAGTGCATGGCAATAGTTAGAGTTTGGTCGATAATTAATATGTTTGTTCCAGTAATAATATAGTCCATTTTAATCATCACAGGAAATTTGTGTGTGATTTGGTAATTTGATGACATTCTAAGATGCTACAATCTCAATCAAAACTGAATCTGCTATTGAAGATAGCAAGAAACTTCTGATATGGGCATTTTTTAGATACCATAACAACAGTGAATACATGCATTGACATGTCAAAATCTTCAAAAGTGAAATTTTGCAGACAATACTTTAATTAAGAAGTTTTTTGGGTCTAAATATGTAAATTTAATATGCAAATACAGTTTACAATGTTGCATATCAAACTGACAAACTAAACAAGTAAATTCCATTATTATTTTTTGACTCCCATGTGCGAAGCACAAAATGGGAGTCTTTGCAGTTAGTGTGTCTGTATGTGTGTATGTGTGTATGTGTGTGTGTGTGTATGTGTGTCCGACTGTTCCACTGCTATCTCAAGAACCATACATCGGTTTTTGATGAAACTTGGTGCATAGATGCTCTGGGCCAATGCGCAGATTTGATTAGGTTTTGGTAAAAATCCATGCTCGTTAATTACCTAATTTGCATGATAATTAGCTAATTTTTAGCTGTTCTATGACTGTTCCACTGATATCTAAAGAACCACTCATTGGATTTTGATGAAACTTGGTACATAGATGCTCTGAACATATGCGCAGATTTGATTAATTTTTGGTAAAAATCCGTGCATATTAATTACCTAATTTGCATGATAATTAGCTATTTTTTAGTGGTTTCATGACTGTTCCACTGATATCTAAACAACCACTCATTGGATTTTGATGAAACTTGGTACATAGATGCTCTGAACTAATGCTAGGTTTTGATTAGTTTTTGGTAATAATCCGTGGACACTAATTACCTAATTTGCATAATGATTAGTCAATTTTCGGTTTTTCCACTGATATCTCAAGTACTAATCATCACATTTCAATGAAACTTGGTACATAGATGTCATACGACACTGCACAGACCTGATAGTTTTTATGGTAATATCAGTACATAT